AGGGACCAAAAGTAATGGGACAGAATAATAATCATAAATCAAACTTTCACTTTTTAATACTTGGTTGCAAATCCTTTGCAGTTAATTACAGCCTGAAGTGTGGAACGCATAGACATCACCAGACGCTGGGTTTCATCCCTGGTGATACTCTGCCAGGCCTCTACTGCAACTGTCTTCAGTTCCTGCTTGTTCTTGGGGCATTTTCCCTTCAGTTTTGTCTTCAGCAAGTGAAATGCTCATTCGGATTCAGGTCAGGTGACTTGGCCATTGCAGAACATTCCACTTCTTTGGTTGCTGTTGCAGTCTGCTTTGGGTCATTGTCCATCTGCACTGTGAAGCGTCCAATGAGTTGTGAAGCATTTGGCTGAATATGAGCAGATAATATTCCCGAAACACTTCACAATTCATCCGGCTGCTTCTGTCAGCAGTCACATCATCAATAAATACAAAGAAGCAGTTCCATTGGCAGCCATACATGCCCACGCCATGACACTACCACCGCCATGCTTCACTGATGAGGTGGTATGCTTAGGATCATGAGCAGTTCCTTCTCCATACTCTTCTCTTCCCATCACTCTGGTACAAGTTGATGTTGGTCTCATCTGTCCATAGGATGTTGTTCCAGAACTGTGAAGGCTTTTTTACATGTCGTTTGGCAAACTCTAATCTGGCCTTCCTGTTTTTGAGGCTCACCAATGGTTTCCATCTTGTGGTGAACCCTCTGTATTCACTCTGGTGAAGTCTTCTCTTGATTGGTGACTTTGACACACATACACCTACCTCCTGGAGAGTGTTCTTGATCTGGCTAACTGTTGTGAAGGGTGTTTTCTTCACCAGGGAAAGAATTCTTTGGTCATCCACCACAGTTGTTTTCCGTGGTCTTCCGGGTCTTTTGGTGTTGCTGAGCTCACCGGTGCGTTCCTTCTTTTTAAGAATGTTCCAAACAGTTGTTTTGGCCACGCCTAATGTTTTTGCTATCTCTCTGATGGGTTTGTTTTATTTTTTCAGCCTAATGATGGCTTGCTTCACTGATAGTGACAGCTCTTTGGATCTCATCTTGAGAGTTGACAGCAACAGATTCCAAATGCAAATAGCACACTTGAAATGAACTCTGGACCTATTATCTGCTCATTGTAATTGGGATAATGAAGGAATAACACACACCTGGCCATGGAACAGCTGAGAAGCCAATTGTCCCATTACTTTTGGTCCCTTAACAAGTGGGAGGCACATATGCAAACTGTTGTATTTCCTACACCGTTCACCTGATTTGGATGTAAATACCCTCAAATTAAAGCTGACAGTCTGCAGTTAAAGCACATCTTGTTTGTTTCATTTCAAATCCATTGTGGTGGTGTATAGAGCCATAAATGTTAGAATTGTGTCGATTTTCCAATATTTATGGACCTGACGTACCTGTAAAATCCTCCCAGGAAGGTTACTGGGCTCTGTCTTGGATGTACTTCGGCTGTCCATCAAAAGGGTGCTCACAGGGTCCATAAGACTCCAGCAGCATGATGACATTATGACAAAGGGCAGCAACAAGACCAGTTGCCAGTAGAGGCCTACAGCAGTAATGGATCATGGTCTTCACTAGTGGAAGAGGTGCAACAGGGGGTTAAAATATTAAATTTAATATTTTTTTTTTAGATATGGGCAACTGGGATGGGTTGGAGGGAGGGTATTTTTTTAATTTGCAAAAAAAAAAAAAAAGAATGCAAAGACAAAATGCAGGCTTCAGTATGCAGCGCTGTGATTCAGGAACACAAAACGATAGAGAATGATCGGAGAAATGATTGATCTACCTCCGGAGATGGGTCTGCGTTTTCCATCAATTATTGATATGTGGATGGGTGTGATCCCGACTGATTAATGAAGATACACGAGGAAATGATGAAGTGTTTTATATTCCATTAATCGCAGCTAATCAGTATTAATAGGTGTGTGTATAACAATCCTTCAGAGTAATGGATGGCGGTGAAGACACGTATAGAGATAAATCCGCTAATTCCGCGCCCACACAGGAAGATTTCCCCCCCAGCGATCTGATATTCGGGATTAGGAGAACAAATTCTTTAAGTGCCGCACTTCTGTCCCACTTAATTCCTCAGTTCATATCGTGCTGTCAGTAAAGCTCCTCGTTTCCCTTCTCCGACACTTTCCTACCAATTATACCGATAGCGCCTCGAAATTTATTCTTTTCACAAAAAAATACATACTGGATGCATGCTTTCACTGAGGATCCAATCGAGTGAAACATCAAAAGAAAAAAAAGTTCTGTATTGTAATGCAAAAACAACATCAAACTTTGCTATTGATTTTTTTTTTTTTTTTTTAGTAGATTCTGTCTTGGGATCCATGTGAGCCTGCCTCTCCTGTGTGCGCCCTTCTCCTGTGTGCGCCCTTCTCCTGTGCACGCTCCTCTCCTGTGTATGCACCTCACTTGTATGCATTCCACTCCTGCCTGCAGCCCTGCGCTGCGTGCCCCCTTTCTCCTTTTTTTCACTGCTCTCCTGTGTACACCCTCTCCTGTCTGCAGCCCTGTCTGCTTTCCTCTCCTGTGTGCATCCGTTTCCTGCATGCGCCCCTTTCCTGTGTGCATCCCTTTTCTGAATGCAACCCTCTCCTATGTGCACCTTTTTCCTATGTGTGCCCCTCTTCTATGTGCACCCCTCTCTGGTGTGCATCTTTTTCCTGCATGCACTCTTCTCCCATGTGCACCCCTCTACTGTGTGTACCCCTTTCCTTTCCTGTCTTGTGAGTGTGCCTCTCTCCTGTGTGCACCCCTCTCGTCTCCCGTGTGCACATTTTCCCTGCATACACCCCTCTCCTGTATGTGCCCCTCTCCTTTGTGCATTCCTCTCCTCTTCTAGGTGCACCCTTCTCTTGTGTGCATCTTTTTCCTGCATGCAGTCCTCTCCTGTGTGTGCCCCTTTCCTGTCTCCTGAGTGTGCCTATCTCCTGTGTGCACCCCTCTTCTCTCCCATGTGCAACGTTTTCCTGCATGCACTCCTCTCCTGTGTGCACCCCTCTACTGTGTGTACCCCTTTCCTTTCCTGTCTCCTGAGTGTGCCTCTCTTCTGTGTGCACCCCTCTCCTCTCCTGTGTGCAACTTTTTCCTGCATGCATCCCTCTCCTGTGTGCACCCCTCTCCTGTGTGCACCCCTCTCCTGTGTGCATCCCTCTCCTGCGTGCACCCCTCTCCTGCGTGCATCCCTCTCCTGCGTGCATCCCTCTCTTGCGTACATCCCTCTCCTCCTCTATGTGCAGCCCTCCTCTGGTGTGCATCTTTTTCCTGCATGCACTCCTCTCCTGTGTGCACTCCTCTGCTCTCCCATGTGCAACTTTTTCCTGCATGCATCCCTCTCCTGTGTGCACCCCTCTCCTGTGTGCACCCCTCTCCTGTGTGCATCCCTCTCCTGCGTGCACCCCTCTCCTGCATGCATCCCTCTCCTGCGTGCATCCCTCTCCTGCGTGCATCCCTCTCCTCCTCTATGTGCAGCCCTCCTCTGGTGTGCATCTTTTTCCTGCATGCACTCCTCTCCTGTGTGCACTCCTCTGCTCTCCCATGTGCAACTTTTTCCTGCATGCATCCCCCTGTCCTGTGTGCACCCCTCTCCTGTTTGTATCCCTCTCCTGTGTCCGCTCCTCTCCTGTGTGCACCCTTCTCCTGAGTGTGCCTCTCTCCTCTCCCATGTGCAACTTTTTCCTGCATGCATCCCTCTCCTGTGTGTGCATCCCTCTCCTGTGTGTGCATCCATCTCCTGTGTGTGCCCCTCTCCTGTGTGTGCCCCTCTCCTGTGTGTGCGCCCCTCTACTGTGTGTGCCCCTCTCCTCTTCTATGTGTACCCCTCCCTTGTGTGCATCATTTTCCTGCATGCACCCCTCTCCTGTGTGCACCTCTCTCCTCTCCTGTGTGTGCCCATTTCTTGTGTGCGCACTTTCCGTTGTGCACCCCTCTCCTGTGCAGTGTACACCATACACATTGCCAACACACAGGGATCTTCTAATGTCCAAATGTTTTAATAAAGATGATCACCTCACAGCAGAAGAATGCAAAGTTTTGGGGCCGCACAGGACCCCTTTGTTAGCTGATCACATGCTTGACGAAGGGGTCCTGCGTGGCTCCGATGCATTACATTCTTCAACTGGGATCTGATTACATGAATGAAACATTTGGACAATATTTGAAGATCCCTGGTGTTCTGGCAATGTGTAGGTAGTTCCGTGCTGTTACCACTTTCCAAATGTTTAATTCATGTAAATGGCAGTTGCTGCAGCACCTGCTTTATTCCTAGCCTACCACAGGAGTGTGTGTGCGATAAAAATATTGCTCTCCTCCCCTGTACTGCGCTCCTCTCCTGTGTGCGCCCCTCTAATGTGTGCCCCCCCCTTCTATGAGTTGCTGAAATCCTTAATCCTTAAAACCAGAGATTGTTTAATTCTGCTCCAGGGAATCTGCTAGAAGACTGCTGTGCTTGTATTATCTGCCCTTTACTGGTTTCTCTAGGCCACAGCAATAAAGGAAAGACTTGCTTTACCCATTGACAACTTAGCTGAAAATTCTGTTGCAGCCCTGACAAAGCCATTAGGAGGGGAATTACTTTGATGGGTATAAAGACCTACAGGGGATGCAGCTACAGTGCATCCAGAAAGTATTCCCAGCGCCTAACGTTTGCCACATTTTGTTATGTTACAGCCTTGTTCCAAAACGGATTAAATTCATTTTTTTTCCTCAACGTTCTACAAAATATACCCCATAATGACGATGTGAAAGAACTTTGTTTTTAAATCTTTGCAATTTATTAAAAATAAATTAAAAGAAAAACCCCCATGTACATAAGTATTCCCAGCCTTTGCCATGACACTCAAAATTGAGCTCTGGAGCATCCTGTTCCCACTGATCATCCTTGAGATGTTTCCACAACTTGATTGGAGTCCACCTGTGGGACATTCAGTGGATTGGAGTCCACCTGTGGGACATTCAGTGGATTGCAGTCCACCTGTGGGACATTCAGTGGATTGGAGTCCACCTGTGGGACATTCTGTGGATTGGAGTCCACCTGTGGGGACATTCTGTGGATTTGGAGTCCACCTGTGGGACATTCTGTGGATTGGAGTCCACCTGTGGGACATTCAGTGGATTGGAGTCCACCTGTGGGACATTCAGTGGATTGCAGTCCACCTGTGGGACATTCAGTGGATTGGAGTCCACCTGTGGGACATTCTGTGGATTGGAGTCCACCTGTGGGACATTCTGTGGATTGGAGTCCACCTGTGGGACATTCTGTGGATTGGAGTCCACCTGTGGGACATTCAGTGGATTGCAGTCCACCTGTGGGACATTCAGTGGATTGGAGTCCACCTGTGGGACATTCAGTGGATTGGAGTCCACCTGTGATAAATTCAGTTGATTGGACAGGATTAGGAAAGGCATAAACCTGTCTATAGAAGGTCCCACAGGTAACAGTGCATGTCAGAGCACAAACCAAGCCATGAAGTCAAAGGAATTGTCCGTAGACCTCAGAGACAGGATTATATCAAGGCACAGATCTAGGGAAGGGTACAGAGAAATGTCTGCAGCATTGAAGGTCCCAATAAGCACAGTGGCCTCCATCATCCATAAATGGAAGAAGTTTGGAACCACCAGGAATCTTCCTAGAGCAGGCCGCCCGGACAAAATGAGCGATCGAGGGAGAAGGGCCTTAGCCAGGGAGGAAACCAAGCACCCGATGGTCACTCTGAAAGAGCTCCAGCATTTCTCTGTGGAGAGAGGAGAACCTTCCAGAACAACCATCTCTGCAGCACTCCACCAATCAGGCCTGTATGGTAGAGACGGCCAGACAGAAGCCACTCCTCAGTAAAAGGCAAATGGCAGCCTGCCTAGAGTTTGCCAAAAGGCACCTGAGGGACTCTCAGACCATGAGATACAAAACTCTTTGATCTGATGAAACAAAGATTGAACTCTTTGGCCTGAAGGCCAAGAGACATGTCTAGAGGAAACCAGGCACCGCTCACCACCTGGCCAATACCATCCCTACAGTGAAGCATGGTGGTGGCAGCATCATGCTGTGGGGATGTTTTCCAGTGGCAGGAACTGGGAGACTAGTCAGGATCGAAGGAAAGATGAATGCAGCAATGTACAGAGACATCCTTGATGAAAACCTGTTCTTGACCATAGATTGGGGCAAAGGTCCATCTTTCAACAGGAAAAACAACCCTAAGCACACAGCCCACATAACAAGGGAGTGGCTACGGGCAAACTCTGTCAATGTCCTAGAGTGGCCCAGCCAGAGCCCAGACTTGAACCCAATTGAACATCTCTGGAGAGATCTGAAAATGGCTGTGCACCGACGCTCCCCATCCAACCTGATGGAGCTTGAGAGGTACTGCAAAGAGGAATGGGAGAAATTGCACCAAAAAGGTGTGCCAAGCTTGTAGCATCATACTGAAAACGACTTGAGGCTGTAATTGGTGCTAAAGGGGCTTCAACAAAGTATTGAGCAAAGGCTGGGAATACTTATGTACATGGGGTTTGTTTCGTTTTCTATTTTTAATAAATTGCAAAGATTTCAAAACGAACTGCTTTCATGTTGTCATTATGGGGTATTGTTTGTAGAATGTTGAGGAAAAAAAATTATTTTCATCCATTTTGGAATAAGGCTGAAACTGAACAAAATGTGGCAAAAGTTAAGCGCTGGGAATACTTTCTGGATGCTCTGTATATAAAAGAATAGAAATAACCTGGCTTTAGTGAAACATTAGAGTGTACATTTTTGTTTATGAAAAATCTTACAAACAACATAATGATAAAAAACATATTTACATATATAAATAATAAATTAAATACATATATATATACTGTAATTAAACAAAAATAGCTTACTTCTGCATAGAAAACAGAGAAAACAAACAGAACCAATCATATTTTACTATTATTATCATCATCTTTATTATGTATCTCTGAAAACATTACCGTCACCTAAACACCCCCCCTCAGGCTAAGAAACGATTAAACATTGATCCCATGCATGCAGACTTTTTTTCAAAACTCTGATCTTACAAAATTCCACGGGGCGTGGAAAGGACAGAAAGAGAAGCCACGCCCCAAGATTCTGACGGACAGCAGCTACGGGGACCTGACATTCCACCACACCTTTGTCCAGGCTCCCGGCCGCCACCTGTCCTTCTCAAGACCCCGAATCTTCCCAACCTCACACAGAATGTTGTGCACCACCACCTCGACAGGAAGGACTTTTTTGCGAATGGAAACCTGACACCGTGCATTCCACGTGTAGTAACGGACTACTAAGCTAACTAGAAAAAGTATCTCAAAATCAAAGTCCCGGTGAGTTTGAAAGGCTCCGTAAGACCACTCCGCGTAACTCAAGCCGGAAAGGGATACCCAGAGCCCCACCCACCCGCTTGTAGACTTCTATATTGAAGGGGCACTGAAGCAAGAAATGGTCCATCGTCTCCTCCCCCCCACCGCACTCCACTCTTGGACAACCACGGTTCTCCGCAGAGCGATGCTTCAGGTTGCCCTTCACATAGAGTCTGCCATGGAACGAGAGCCAGGCCCAATCCCGAAACTTTAAAGGGATTCTCTCCAGATTCATCAAACGCAGACCCTCCCTCATAACCGGGCCTGGGCAATCCCTCAAGGCCAATGGCTCGCTAAAGGCAGATTCAACAACTCTCCTCTCCAGGGCCTTCCTAGGAAGAGGCTTAATTTCCTCCACCGTCACTTACCATTGCCGAAGCATTTTCAGGCATGGGGCAACATAAGCCAGGAGGATACCGTGTTGGACCCTCAGGCTTTTCACTGGCCCACCATTGTCCCAGCTCCGCAGAAAAGGCCTAAACCAGGACTGAAAAAATACCAACCCACCCAGGCGGTTCATCTGCCAGCATGCTACCAAAATTATATTTCAAAAACATCAGAGAAAAGAAAACCACTGGGTTGACCATACCTAGGCCACCCATCCGCCTGGGAAGGTAGGTTACAGACCTCTTAATGAGGTTCAGTCTGTTCCCCCATAACAGCAGGAAGAAACAACTGTAGATCCTCGCATAGAGAGACACTGGCAAAACACAGACAAATCTGACATACAGAAACTGGGATCAGGTAAGTTTTAATCAGGTCAAATCCATTCCTTGTAATAGAGTTTCCAATCCTTCCAGCTGGCCACCTTGGCATCGGCATCTTGTAGCCTGCTTACCAAATTTGCAAGGCCGTAATCACCGGGACCAAATCTGATGTCTAAAACTTTCATTTCCTGCTGGGGCTCTGGGAAGGCGTCCGGAAGGGTTAAAGCCTTTGCCTTCCTCTCCCATCCAGAAAACCTCACTCTTATCCCGATTGATCTTTGAGCCAGATGCCTCAGCATACTGTTCCATCACCAAGACCACCTCCTCCTCCGCATACTGTTCCATCACCGAGACCACCTCCTGTAAAGTATCTTTGCCAGTATCTTCCTATCAACACTGAGAAGACTAATGGGCCGCCAATTCTCAATTCTGGAAGAATCTTTACCCTTTGACAGAAGAATCACTGCAGATTGTCACATGGAGGGAGAACGAACACTCTTCTCAGACAGTCATTAAAAACCTCCACCAAATATGGGGCCAGAGTCACCTTAAAGTGCTTATAAAACTCAGCTGTCAATCCGTCTGGCCCAGGCGACTTCTTCATGGCAAGCTGATCAATAGCTTTCACCACCTCATCTGCCGTGATGTCCTCTGTCAAACTCACAAGAGAACTGCCATTTCCCAGTCCTGGAGTAGAGTCCAGAAAACCCGACATGCTCGCCCGATCGAGGTCCCTCCTACCCAGGAGGTCAGCATAATATGACCTGGAGGTTTCCAGGATCCCCGACTTGGACTTTGTCAGGGAACCCGTACTGTCAACCAGGCCTACAACTGACTTAACTTCTCTACCTTGTTTGCAATTCTAGTAGGAGTCGGGCGAGTGATATTTCCCATAATCCCTTTCCGGAACCAAAGAGGCATGCCTGTCATATTGACACTTTCTAAGCAAGATTTTAACCTCAGAGATCTCCCCCGGATCTCCATTATTCAAGACAAGCCGATCGAGCTTCCTCTGCAGACGCTGGTAGGTGACATACTTATCAAGCTGTTTATTTCTTCCTATGGCCTTGAAAAACCCAACGATCCTTTGTTTTGTAAGCTCCCACCACTCCGATTTACTGCTGCAAAAGTCCATGATTGATACCTGTGCCTGAAAAAAAATCCTCAAAGGATTGACTCACCTTCACATTGTCCAGGAGTGCCGAATTCAGCTTCCAGGTACCCCTCCCCCTAGATGGTGTATCGCGGCCACTGAGAGTCACAGACAGAATACAGTGATCGGAAAACTCCACCGCCTGACACACTGGTGCCGAGAAAGCGGAGTTCCCCTTTAAAAAAAAACCTATCTAGTCTACTCTGACTAGCACCTCGCTGAAAAGTGAATTCCGTTTCGTCTGGGCAGCAATGAATGTGCACATCAACCAGACCTGCCTCTTTAGCGGTCACAGTCCACAGTCCAGCCTGACTCCGGTACCTTTCCTGTCCTTAGTCCTAGTGACGGTGTTTAAAGTCACCACCGAAGACAACTTGCTGGGCTGTAAAAAGGAAACGCTTGATCTTCATGAAGAGGCATTTCCTGTCCCATTTTGTCTGGGGCCCATAGATGTTAATCAGGCGCAGGTCCCTGCACCCCCATGGAGACGTCTAAGACCATGCATCTCCCCATTTCTACCTCAATAATCCGCCGACAGGTTGCCATGACGGAAAATAGTACCGCAACTCCAGTGTAAGGCTCGGCCGCAAGAGACCAGAAGGAGGGGCCGCGCCTCCACTCCTTCTTCGCCATATGAACATCCCCCAAACTGGACAACCTGGTCTCTTGCAAAAAGAAAATATTAGCATCAAACCTGCTGAGCAAAATAAGGCCATGTTACGAGCGCTTACTGATTTTATGCTGGCGACATTAATGGTCGCCACCTTCAAATGAGTAGGAACCGCCATCAGGATTATTGAGGTACACATTTCTTAGCCTGCTTACCCCCCTCCCTGCTTGGAGACCCTACACGCTTCAGTGTCCTCTGTGATTCCTCCTCCATGGAAACCACAGACTCATCACCTGAAGATCCCTCATCCTCCACCTCAGATAACACATCAAAAGTGTTTGACACCTCCACCCTCCCAGGTTCAGGTACAGGCACATCCTTCTTCCACTTCTTCTTCCCAGATTTCCTTTTTGCCTCCAACCACTCCATATCATCCTTTGACAACCGGACTTCAAAGCTCCCTCCCCTTCCAGAGAGCACTTCATCTCTGGAAATGAGGAGGTAAAATTACCCCGAGAACCGCACTTATTGCAGAGCTTGGGCTGTCCAGGGTAGAACACGACAA